CTTGCCCGGATCCGACTTTCCATCCCGAGTCGTCCTTTGGGCGGTCCCGGGGCCCGGCGAGGACCCCCAGAGGCCGTGATCCGGGAGAGGGAGGAGCACGGCGGAAGCCCATGCTAAGAAGCACCTTGCTTGCCTCCAGGGTGCCCAGGGCTGCCCGGGTTTCGATGGCCGTGGAAAAAGCGTGGCCTTTCCCCCGCATCCCTGGGGATTCCCAGGTCGGGGGTTCTTGCGTGGGAGGCTTCCTGTGGTCGAGATCCTCCTGTAGGGGGGGGGGGGGGGGCGAAGCTTCGAGGTTCACGGTTTTCGGACGTCTTCGTCGGTCTTCGGCGGTTCTCCGGCCTCGGGGAGTGCGTTCCAGCAGCTGCGCCTCGCGGGGAGCGTTCGATGGGGTGCCCAAGTCGCCCCGAGCGGCCGCTGGAGAGCCCGGCTGTGCCCCCGAGGACCTCTGGGCCATCCTGTCCACCGATTCCTCCGTTGCCCTCCCTGGCAGTGCAGTCTCTGGAGGTCTGATGTCCCCGGGTCGGGCTCTGCAGGGGAGGGGCGGGAGAACGGGGGCGACGCCCTCGCTGCAGTCCTTGCTCGTCCGCCCCCACTGCGGAGGCCTCTGGAGGCAAACTGGAAGCTGAGCAGTCACTGTTCCTCCAGCGCGCCAGGTAGCCTGGGTGGCGGAGTGCCCAGCGGTGGGGATGCCGGCGGCTAGAAGTTGCTTCCTTGTGAAGCGCGTGGGCCGGAATCCTGGGAGCGCGCAGGGCGGAGGAGTGGCGCAGAGGGCGGAGGCGGGCAGAGGAGCACCACCCGGCAGGCCAAGCCGCGTGGGAGGCCCAAGACGGCGAGAGGGCCAGCCTGAGCGGGCGTGGCAGAGAACGCGACGGGAACAGGCAAACGAGAGCGGACGAGATACCAAGCTAAGCATCTACACACATACATACACATACACATACACACAAGCCAACACAAAACATGTCCTCCTTCCCCTCCCTCGTTCTCCTCCCCCTTGGACCCTGGACACCCGAGTGGGTTCCCACCCAAGGCACCTAGTGGGACACTGGGACTCCCAGGCAATGCGTTTGGAGTCCAAGGTCACACCATCGGCACACAGGTCTGCCGCGTAAAATGGTCAACCTTGGGGCACTCTAGCCGTAACATGGCCAACTGGGGCACTGGGCCATCCTCTCGTGGGCGGTGGAGCCTGCTGCGCAGAGAGAGGGGGAGCGGGAGGAGGTCGGAAGGCAGAGGACACGGTTGCGTGGCCAGGGGGGAGGGGAACCACCAAACCCGCCCGCTAGGCGCGCGCGCACCCGCCGGAGGTAAGGAGCGAGAGGAGGGAGGAATAACGGGGAGGGGGAGGGGGAGCGGGAGTTGGCAAGCGCGAGGTCAAGGCGGAACAGCAATACTGACCGCAGAATTTGGAGGAGGAGGAGGAGGAGGACCACGACGACGAGGAGGAGGGGGAGACGGAGTAGGATAAGCAGGAAAAGGAGGAGGAGGAGGAGGAGGAGGGAGGCGGAGGAATAGCAGGCGGAGAAGGAGGCGGAGAAGGAGGCGGAGGAGGAGGAGGAGGAGGAGGAGGAGGAGGAGGTGGATGAGGAGGAGGAGGAGGAGGAGGAGGTGGATGAGGAGGAGTAGGAGTCGGAGGAGGAGGAAGAGGAGGAGGAGGAGCAGAAGGAGCAGGAGCAGACGGAAGAGGGGAGGCGCGACGGCGCCAGCCCCCACCCCTCGCCCCGTCCCGCCCCTCCCTCCTCCTCCCCTCCTCCCCCCTCCTCCCCCTTCCTCCTCCCGCCTCCCCTCCCCCCGCGCCCTCCGCACGTCAGGAGGGCCTTCCAGGCAGCGGGGGCGGGCGGGGCAGCGCGCGGGGAGGCGGGCAACCCGGGATCGGCACCGCCCCAGGCGCCCTGGTGTCCGTCAAGGTCACACTGGCCGCGAAGGGGCCCCAGGCGAGGCGGCCGCTTGCAGCACCGTTCTCCTCGTGTCCTCCTCGTCGCCTTCTCCTCCGCCTCCTCCTGCTCCTCCTCCAGCCCTTTGCCTTACAAATAGCTTCTCCTAGTCGCACCCCGGGGCAAGTTGTTTGGGCGTGCCAGGCGTTTCGCCTGAGATTTCCTCACCATTTATGATCCTGAAGCTTAGAAAGTGACAACAGCTTCACAGATGGAGGGCGGGTGGTTTTCAAACTATGGCTCTCGCCTTAACGCTGCGCACATTGGGTTTTTTGAGCGATTGCAATAGTTTCACGGATTGAGGGCGGGTGGTTTTCAAAATGTGGTTCTCGACTTAGCGCCACGCACATTCATTTTAAATTATTGCAAAAGTTTCACGGAATGAGGGCGGTTCTTGTTCAACATGTGATTCTCGCCTTAGCGCTGTGCACATTGGTTTCTAAACTTTGGAAGAGTTTCACGGATTCCCATGATCAGTTTACCAGAAATTGTGTGTTGGAAGGATCCAGGATTATGCGGGTGCAGCGGTTTTGTTGATTCGCGGTGTTGAAGTCCCAAACATGGCGTTCTGGCACGGTTCTGGATAGTAGTCAAGACGCAGCAGTCAGGTTGATCCGTGGCGTTGAAATCCCGAGGACAGTGGTTTGGCATGCTTCAGGCTCTTCAAGGGTGTCTTCCAACGAGGCAGTTCTCTCTATAGAAATGAACCGTTGTAGGGGCTTATGGAGAGGGAGCTTGACGGGAGGGTTAATTCCAACATCGTTGATGATTTTTGTCTTCCTCCTCCTCCTGATCATCCTCCTCTTCCTCCTCCTTCTCTTCCTCCTCCTCCTCATCCTCCTCCTTGTCCTTCTCCTCCTTCTTCTCCTCCTTCTCCTCCGCCTCCGCTTCCACTTGCTGTTCCTGCTCCTCCTTCTCCGTCTGCTCCTCCGCCTTTTTCCTCCTCGTCCTCCTCCTCCTCCTCCTCCTCGTTCTCTTTCTCCTCCTCCCCCTCCTCCCCCTCGTCCTCCTCCTCCTCATCATCATCATCATCAGCAGCAGCAGCAGCAGCAGCAGCAGGACCAGCACCAGCATCAGCATCACCATCAGCATCATCATCATCAGTATCAGCATCAGCATCGTCATCATCATCACCACCACCACCATCATCATCATCATCATCATCATCATCATCATCATCACCATCATCAGCATCATCATCATCATCGTCATTGCCATCGTCAACATCATCATCAGCATCATCAGCATCACCAGTATCATTACCATTAGAAGCAAAATCGTACTTACCATCAGCATCATCAGCATCATCATCATTAGCAGCATCATCAACAGCATCAGTAGCATCATCATCATCATCAACATCGTCATCAGCAGCCTCATCATTGTCATCATCACCACCATAATCAGCATCATCATCATCAACATCACCGTCATCAGCATCATCATCATCATCGTCATCATCATCATCACTAGCAGCAACATCATCATCATCATCGTCATCAGTACAATCATCAGTATCACCAGCATGATCGTCATCACCATCGTCACCGTTATCACCATTATCATCATCATCATCAGCAGCATCATCATCATCATGATCATCATCATCGTATTCATCTTCCTCTTCATCTTCATCTTCATCTTCAGCACCATCATCGTCATGTTCATCATCGTTTACTCCTCCTCCTCGTGTTCTCATCCTCGTTGTTCCTCATTATCCTCCTGATCTTCCTCCGATTCCTCCCCCCTCTTTCCTTTCCTCCTCTTCCTCTCTTGTTCTTCTCCTCCTCCTCCTCCTCCTCCTCCTCATCCTCGTTCTCTTCAGCCTCCTCATCATCATCCTCCTCCTCCTCCCTCTCCTCCTCCTCCTCCTCTTCCTCCTCCTCCTCCTCCTCCTCCTCCTCCTCCTCTCCCTCCTCCTCCCCCTCCTCCTCCTCCTCCTCCTCCTCCTCCTCCTCCTCCTTCTCGTCCTCCTTCTCGTTCTCTTTCTGGCCGCCCAAGCGGGGTCGAACCAGATGTGGTATGAGGGTCGAGCCGCATCGTTCATGCATCGGCGACGCAGCTCAGTGTGGAGCAATGCATCGCCAGCCGCATCATCCTCTTCACTTCCACCTTGTCCTCCTGGCCGCCCAAGAAAACCGCGTGGACATCCGAAGGCTTTCAGAAAGGCTGTGTATCATATGCCACCTTTCTGCTATTCGGTGATGGGGGGATGGAGTCCGCCCAGACGGGGTCGACGCAGGTGGGGTCGGAGGATGCCGATGCATCGGCGATGCTGCTCCATGTGGAGCCAGGCTTTCTCCACGCCGACGTCGCCGATGCATCGCCGACGTCGCCAGTGCGTCGGCAATGCAACGCGATGTGGAACCAGATTTTCGCCATGCCGACGTCGTCGATGCATCGCCGACGTCGCCGACGTCGCCAATGCATCGGCGATGCAGCGCGATCATCCGACCCCATCTACTTCGATCCGGTTTGGACGGCATCGGTCTCCGCGCACGCCCCCCCCCCTTCTCACCCCCCCCCCCGTATCGAAGAGCAAAGAGGCGGCACAACGCGCAACCTTTCGGAAAACCTTAAAAGGTCCGCGCGGATTTCTTGTTTGTGAGTTGGACCCCCTCCCCGGCGGCGTCTCCCTGGCGCGCTGATGGAGACCTCACTTTTGCCACCGATGTCACTAATTCCGGCGGAAATGGAAGCGACACCATCACCCAGATTGGCAGGCGCCAAGCCAGGCATCTATCTCGAACGCAGCGAGCAGGGTATGGGTGCACTTTCCTTCATCATTTGAGCGCTCTGGGACTGTCCACCTCCGATTCCGACCGAGGTCTTCCTTGATTTGCCAGAACTTGTATACGAAGAGCGCTGGTCATTTGAGGCGCTGGATGTTGAGACTTACGCGTGCATCAATAATTAATCCCGCTTGACCCCAAGGAGGAGGCTTTCTTGCAAAGACATCACATCAGTTTGAGCAATGCGATGCGCGAAGCTTTGTTTGGCAGTGTTGGCATTGATTGGAGCAGTTGCTTGGAATCTTGGTTTAGCATTGGGTGGAATCGTGACTTGGAATATTTGCATGACAGTGCTTGGCGTTGCTTGGCATTGCATGGCAGTGCTTGGCGTTGCTTGGCTCTGGTTGGCGGTGCTTGTTAACGCTTGGCATAGCTTGGCGTTGCTTGGCACAGGTTGGCGTTGCTTGGCAGTGCTTGGCATTGCTAGGAGACCCCGAGGAACCCAAGCAAGGAACCCCGAGGAACCCAAGCAAGGAACCAGGGCGAGGACCCCCGGGGAACCCCGAGGAACCCAAGTCAGGAACCAAAGCCGATGAACCTTGGAGAACGCCCCTGGGGAACACCGTCGCACTTACCGTTTCGTTCACCAACAAGTAAGAGCCCCTCAGGCACAGGCTAACTCGGGAATTCTGCCAATATCGGCACCCGGAGCTCGTCGGAAAAACCATCTCACAGTTCGTCATGTGTTGTTTGTCACGAGCGGCTTTGGCCCGTTTCCTCCTCTTCGGCCGTCGCTTCGTTGTCTCCCCCCCCTCTTTCGTGGTGGCACAATTCGCCTCACGGCAGCCCCGTTGTGCTGCCTCGCCGGCGCAGTGACTCTGCCTAGCCGCCGAGAAAAAAATAGAACGTGTTGTCTGTCGCTCGCTCATCGGGTCGCCACCGCCCACACCTTCAGTCGGGGCCCTGAAGAAGGAACCCTTTTCGTTGGGGCTCCGTGTTCCTCAATTGTTTCGCAGCTTGCCTCGGATTTTCCTTCGGTTTTCGATACGAAATCGAAGTTCAACTTATGGAAAGTAGGGGCCTCGTTCCTTACTTAGGGTTCCTTAGGTCAACGCCTCGACTGTATGCCTACTGACGTCCAGCGCCCTCCGCTGCCAGAGGCAGACGAGGTGGGCAGGGCGTGCCGGAGGAGGAGCAGGCGGGACCGAGGCAGGGCAGGAGGAGGATCGGCAGCAGGGTGCAGGAGCAGGAGGACGACGACAGGGAGCCGCAGCAGCAGAGAGGAATCAGGAGGGAACGAAAACACAGACACTATTCATCGTCGATTTCCCAGAAAATGTGGGAAAGCATGGGAAGTGGGGGGGGAAGACAAAAACCCACAAAATATGGGAAACAATGGGGAATCTGGTTATTTGTGCGCATGTGTTTGCGTGTCCCAGGGCCCCTTCAGGGAAGAAGCAGCGTGGGTAGTGCCTTTGACTTCCGCCTCGGGGGAGATCTCAGCCGCGGACGCTCCGTCGGCCAGCAGCTGCACCCCCTGGCTCCGCCAGGGGGCGCCCGCCGATGCCGACGCGGCTCCGCCGCACCGCACCCAGCGGGGACGGCGAGGAGGAGCAGCAGAGGCCAGAGGAAAGCGACGAGGGCGAGGGGGGACGGAAGGAAAGCGAGGATGGCGAGCGGGGATGGCGAGGAGAAGCGGAGGGAGGACGAGCGGGGACGGCGAGGAGGAGCAGCAGAGGCCAGAGGACAGCGACGAGGACGCGGAGGACGGCGAGGACGAGGCGGAAGGTGGGAACAGGACGGCGGGGAGACCGACGCCCCCCGTGCCTTCGGAGCGCGCCTGCGGCCTGCCCGAGAGAGAGAGGGGAGGAGGAGGAGGAGGAGGAGGAGGAGGAGGAGGAGGAGGAGGAGGAGGAGGAGACGAACCCCCTGGAGGCCGAACACCAGAACAGCCCAGCACGCAGCCCAGAGCTCCTGCGAAGAGCCTCCGAGCGGAAGTCGGGCACCCCTTTTGCGACAGCTCGCACGCCGCTGAGCCGTCCTCGTCCTCGGCCGCAGCCTCCGCTCCATGGCCCGGGATGGAGAAGGCATGCGGCTCCTCTTCCGCCTCTTCCCTCTCCTCCGTCCTCCTTCCCCTTGTCCTCATCCTCTCCTCCCATGTCCTCCCTTCCCTCGTCCTCCACTTCCTCTCCTCTCCTCCCCCTCTTCCTGTTCTTCGGTATCCCCTTCCTCCGCCCGCAAAACAGCGCACGATTCAACGGTGAGCACGCGGTCGCGGGAGGAACTACGTAAGCTCGTGGCAAACTCCCGTAGAGGCTCGACGGAGATATGAAAGACATTCCCTTCTCCTTCTCCTCCTCCTCTTCCGCCCACCCCCTCTCAACGCGCCCTCCGATTCCTCATCCTCCTCCAAGGCCTTCCCACTTGCTTTCCCTTCCTCCTCCTCCTCCTCCTCCTCCTCCTCCTCCTCCTCCTCCTCCTCCTCCTCCTCCTCCTCCTCCCCTTCCGCTGTTGCACCACCAGACGTGTCGTCAGGGCGAACCGGGCTTTTCGCCTGAGAATGCATCACAAGTTATGCCGTCGAAGCTTGAAACCCCCGACAGGCACACGGGTGAAACACATGTGGTTTCCACACGTGGGTCCTCGCATTGGCGCCACGCACACTCGTCGATTACATTCCCGACAACTGCATACATGGAGGGCGGTCGGTTTTTTTCAAATGGGGCGCTCGCGCGCATTCATCTTGAATTGCACCCTGGCGCAGAACACCCGAAGCAGCACACTTGGATGGCAACCAGGGCGCCATGCCGTATTGCACGTACGGGCGAGCATGCGGGTGAGTACACCGGAGACCCGACGGGAGACAACACGGGAGACCACACAGGAGATCAGATGGGACACTACAAGGGCGACCGTACCGGCGACCATAGGGGAGACCAGGCGCCTGGTCCACACGGGAGACCATGCGGGATGCCACATGGGAGGCCACGTGCCACCGATCGCGAGCCCAGACTCGTTCACACGTGCCTTGAACCAAGAGGTGGGTCCCGTACAGACAAGCTAATCAGGGAAGAGCAACTGCACGGATTTAGGGCGGTTCCTTTCTCGAAATGGGTTTCCCGCTTGAGATGTTCTCATGTGTGTTGACCCGAAGTTCAACATTGCGCAACGGCTACACGGACGGGAGGCGGCTCAGGGCTCTCGTTTGAAATTCCTCCCAGGTAGCATGGCAACAAGGTCTGAAGTTGCGCAACGTCTACACGGATGACGGGCACAGCCTTGTCAACACGAGGTGCTCTCGATGGACACACCTTGAGTGTTATGGTCGTGCCCCGTTGCACTTGTTATAGCAAGAGGGGTGCAAGGTATAGTCGGGCCGCTGAAGAAGAAACCCTTTTCGTCGGGGGGGAACTCAGTGCTCCTTTCTTGGTTTACAGCATGGCTCAGGTGTTCCTTGGGTCTTTTATGGGAAAGATGAGTTTTATTGACTGGCAAGAACAAGCGCCTCGTTCCTCATTTAGGGCGTCGGGTCGGTGTCCCCCTTTGGGAAGGAAGACTTGCAGGGACCACGAGGGGGGAGTTCGGGACGGGAGGGTGTGCTGGAGCATCGCTGACGCGTCTTGGATTTGCTCTGGGTCCATCCCTCCTCCTCCGTCCTCCTCGCAATCCTTCCCCTCCTTCCCCTCCTCGTCCCCTTCCTCTGCCGCCCTCGTCTTCCTCCTACTCCTCCATGCCCTCCTCTTCCCCCCCCTCCTGCTCCTACAAGGTGCTCCGCCCCCCAGTCGAAGTGGACCTTCAAACCTGCGACTGCTGGGGGCGCCGAGGTCTGTGACCTCCTGCTCCTGTTGCTCCTGCTTCTCCTCTCCTCCTCCCCCTCCTCCTCCTCCTCCTCTTCCTCCTCCTCCTCCTCCTCCTCCTCCTCCTCCTCCTCCTCCTCCTCCTCCTCCTCCTCCTCCTCCTCCTCCTCCCCCCCCTCCTCTCCTCCACAATTACACAATATGAAAATACTCTCCCACTTCCCCTGATGGCGTCCCGAAGATATCCGACCCCCCCCGCGTACTGTTTTTTTACACACAGGACGGGAAACGGGTTTTCGCCTGCGTTTTTTTTCAAAATGCTGCTCTCGCTGAGGCGCCGGCCTCATTTCTGCTCCCGAATCGTTCCGAATCGTGCTCCCGCCCCAGCGCGGGCCTCTTTCTCGCGCGCCCATCCGCCCGCCACCACCGCGCCGCACCACCACCACCACCACCACCACCACCACCACCACCACCAGCACCACCATCACCACCACCACCACCACCACCACCACCACCACCACCACCACCACCACCACCACCACCACCACAACCACGCACACACGCACGCACGCACGCGCACCACCACCCACTACGCACGCGCGCGCGGAGCCACAGGTCCGCTACGACACGCGTCCGCGGATATAGAAAATCAGCGCCATGGTAAGGGATGGGAGGGAGGGGTAGGACGTCAGATATGACGCGAGCGCACCTAGCTTGTCCTCCCCCTCCTCCTCCTCCCCTCCTCCCCCTCCTCTCTCCTCCTCTCCTCCTCCTCCTCCTCCTCCTCCTCCTCCTCCTCCTCCTCCTCCTCCCCCTCCTCCTCCTCCTCCTCCCTCATTTCTCTTCCTCCTCCTCCTCCTCCTCCTCCTCCTCCTCCTCCTCCTCCTCCTCCCCTTCTTGCCCCTCCTCTTCAGACCAGCCGACGGGGCGCCCCCGAGGCCGAGAGCGTGAGGTTCTTGCCGGCTGGCGCCATCGGCTCACAGGTCTTCTCCGGAGAGGCGGCTGCCGCTCTGTCCCTCCGCCGTTATTGCACCTCCTCGTCCTCTTGCCCGTTCGCCTCCTCTTCTCGGGCAGAGAGGGAGCAGACGAGAGATATCAAGCCAGGAGAAGGCTGCAGAAGCCTGTGCGGGCTTCCGGGATCGGCGCTGGACCCCCTGGCGGCGCCTCCAGCGCCGCCCCTGACGCGCTCCGCGCCGATTCGAGAAATTCGCGCGGACCTCCCGCCAAAGTTTATATGTTTGCGGAGTTGTATGTTTGACAGAGCGGGTGTCAAACTGGTCGGCTCGAGCGATTCAGCGGGCACTGCCCGTTTCCCACCGTTCCTCCCGTGACCCAGGAGTCCATGCTGGCACAGCTCCCGCTACGCGCAGAGAGGGGTTGGGGGGAGAGGGGGGAAGCCCTCTTAGAAGCACCCCCGCTTCTTAGAAGGCGCGGGCCTTGTCTACAGATGCAAGGCCGGCGCCTCCTGAGAAGCAGCCTCCTTCTGAGAAGCCCTCCCCCCTCCTCCTCCTCCTCCTCCTCCTCCTCCTCCTCCTCC